TGCTAGAGCGTACGAAAGAAGTTGTATGTCAATATTCAAAAGAGAAAGAGGACGATAATTATTTAGTGACAAGGGATCGCCCTTTTTAAATATAAGTGTTAATACACTTGTACGCTGTGAATATGTAAGTGATTGATCTTTATATCTAATATTAAAAATGTTTACTACTATGTACTTTAATTTATCCCAAAATTTTCTATAAAATTCGACTGTTAACCCATCTAACCAGGAGATTTGTTAAGTTTCATTTTATAAATAGTATCTGAGCATTCGCCTACTGTATAAATATACCCATCGCAGACTGATTTATCATTTTATCCATTTCTTTGTCTATTTTTGTCTCAAATATATATTTATCGCTAGATGTTTTATCAGGGCTTTGCGTCGAGTATAAATTTTTATAATACTCTTTAAAACTACACAGTATATCACCTTGATCCGTTATAATCTCATCATTTCCCCCATTTTTCTACAGTTCTTACAACATTCTATCTACAGTAAAAGACGGCTTTTAGAAATATTGTATGGGGTATATTCAAACAAAGGTGTCAATCAGATGTGAATACTTAAACATTTCTACTACAAAATTTTCAAATCACAATCTTTAAAATTTTGCTGTAATATCAAAACTTGATTTCTCCACACTTTACATTACTTTTTCTCATGTTCAATTGAAAGATCAAGTACATCGGCTCATTCAACACATCGTTGTCTCAGTACTACTTTCAACAAAAATGGAGTTCGTAGATACAAATTTCTTGTTTTATGTCATAAAAAATCCTACCAGAGACACATAATCTCTGATCTTACTTTGTGAAGGACCAAACTGGTTAAAAAAAAAAACAAATACACCAAGGGTCTAATTTTTTTTTAGATACAGTACCTGGGACATAACCAGCCATAATAGACTTGTAATTTCATTCGGTTGAACAAAGAGAAATAGAATCATGGGTGTTTTCATTATTTCTATGTATAGATGGCGTTTCAGTTTGTTACCGCTTTTGGCAGTGTTTCGCGGGAATTTTTCCCATAGTTCTTCATTCAGCACGATAACGTCCTACTGTTCGCTCGTTAAATTTTTAAGTTAGTTTGATATCTATGTTTTGATAGTAAGTTTTCATATTTATATATCTACATATTGGTGCATTATTTATAATAAATACATGTAGCAGCGGCGTTGTCGTGCGGCTATCCACTTTATATACGTTTTATTTCATTCTATTCATCTTTATATACATAGTATACCGATTTTTCCTTTGCTTGGCACCCACTGTCCTTTTTATTGTATATAGTCATACAATAATCAACGTTGTCTAATCAGTTATTTGTAATTTTACCGTTTATGTCCTATTCCCGGGTGTGACATTTTGCTTTCGGGTGGTGCATGCATAGCAGTAGATGCTTACCCTGTCGACTCATCCGGTCTCGCACCTTTTAGAGTTCATTCGATTCCTTCGGGTTTTTTTATTTTGTTAACCTTGGTTTGTTTTCTTATTCGATTTATGATATTTTAACATCGGTAAACTACTGTTGCCTTATGCTCTTGTTTGCGCTAGTTGTATTTGTTCATAGCTCAATAATGACTTTTTAAAAATGATTATTGATAAAGTCAGACTCTCGGCTATAGGAATACCTCAACACAGCAGTTTGCCGATAGATTTCATTTGTAGTGGGTAATAATATGTCAGCTAGATCTACTTTTATTTGACCATGATCTCATTTTATTCAATCGGCTCCACTTTTCTTTAATATTTATTAAAAGATCTATGCCGGTCTGGCATAAAGTGTTTGTAGTTGATTTGACTTGAAATGTTCGTTTTTTATGACAGCTAATCATGGCTGGAAAACAATCGTTAATGATTTCGGTACTAAAGTATTAGTATGAAAAAGGAGGCGTTAAGTAAACATCAATGTGACAACCAATATATACTCCCTCCATTGCATGCAGTCAGTACGCTCGATAACTACATGTAATTATTCATTTTAATATCTTTGATATTCTTTTATATTTTCATGGTATATTGTTTGAACTATATGTTCTTAAATTGATGCCATTCTGTCGGATGCTAAAATGCAGATATTTAATACCACAAAACACGTGCGTCTATAGCAAAACTTCCATTCGGTACATTCGAGACTAACAGTTTGGATAGAAAAAAAAAATACGTTGGAGAGTCCTAAATCCTAAACAGAACATTCCAAGCCTTCTAAGGTCAACTTTGCTTGAGGAGGGTGCAACATTATCTGTAGCATAATTGCATTCTATGACTAGGCACACTACATTCAATATGCTTCATGTTTGAAATACAGAAGCAGTGGACACTGGGAGGGTGGAACTGATATATACTTTACTTTGACAATGATCCAGGGGTTTACAATAGTTTGCATCTGCTCAAAATGTGTATCTTGCATTACCTTCATCAGGTCAGAGACATATATACACCGTGTTTATATGTCTCTGATCAGGTACGTTCGAGACTAAAAGTTTGGAAATCCCGAAATGATTAACAGTTTAGAGCATTAACACTAAATGGGCTTACAAGAACCGACAAACCGATGATTGAGGAAGTTACAACCGTAGTTTAAGTGCAATTTCAAAATTCATGAAGTCGAAATTGACAAACAAATTGTATTTATACTGTATTCAAATCATGTCAATACCGAAGTGAACTGACTACTGAGCGGACGGTATCCTCGGACACTGCTAGTCCACCAGCTGTGGTACAGACCTGGTGGTATCAAAAAACGAGTTAGACCAAAATATGTGTGCATAACACTACGTGTTTCATGAATTAGCTTCACCACCAGGTGCGTGTTTGTCCGAATGTGTTAAAAGTAAAAATATTAGCTATATAAAAGAATGAAAATCAAACTTGGATGTCTTAACAACACAGACAAAAACCATCCGAGGTCAACCTAACCTAAATATTTGCAACCTGTGGTACTATAGTTGTCTTCTTTTACACATTCCAGCAGCGCTTGCATAAGGATTATTTATCTCCAAATTGATACGAAATTCCAAAGCTTGCATTCTCTATCATTATTTCCTCGCTAGAGGTGTGTTGCTTACATAGAAGCTTTAGAACCAAGTGCTGTAATGGTAAATTTGAAGTCAATCCTTTGAAAGTTTACGCCAATAATTAGTTGGCTTTTTTTCACGTGACGTGCGATGTCTCCTGAATCGGTTGGTAGACACATATATTATTTTTTGTTGATCAAAATGTTTCATAATATTGGTGTTGAGTATATTCTCTAATACTGTGGATTCATTATTATTCGTTGGATACCCAATTTCGTGATTTCATGGGTAAACACGAACCACAAATTTAAATGTTCAACTAAGTACACAATTTCCATGGGTTTATATGCAAACTTTGGTAGAAACTGGGACTATTATACTTATAAACACAAATCAAATATCCACGAAACTATTTGTGTTTCTCCATCCACGAAAATTGGTAACCAAGAAAATAAATGAATCAACAGTAGTCATGGCAGTTCGGCATTTTGGGATCAGCCCATGGCATCGTAATGATACAACGAATATAGTTTAATGTTTTCAAGACTCACTGCCTCTGTGTTTTTTATTCAGTCAATTAAAAATTAACACTTAACCCCCAAAATGACTTGTTTAATCAGGGACATGATACATAAGACATAATCTGACTTAATTTTAAAAAATATTATAAAACGGAATACACAAGGCCTTTGAAAATAGTGGAATAAAATTACTTTTGGAGTGTCGAAAAATCGTTGGAAGTAATTGAGGTCTGTATAGCTAGCACTTTTCTTTTTTTTTTTTACATTTTATTCATTTATCATATTACTGACACCAAGGATTATTTTGTATAGTTATCTACTATACAAATCCTTGCTGACACTTGATCTATTTTTATGTCTTCTGGTTATTCAATTTTATCTGATACCCTTGTATAGTTTATTATCTTTATCCTAGATTTAACTGCATTACAAACTAAAACACAAACTGTATCATCAGGAACATATAGATATACTGTTCCCAGGTATCATTGAGTGTGCCTGTAGTACTCAAAATATTTTCTTCAGTATAAATAAGAAAATGTGGTATGAGTGCCAATGAAACAATTCTCCATCCAAGTCACAATTTATAAAAAGTTAACAATTATAGTTCAAAGTATGGCCTTCAACACGGAGCCTTGGCTCACACATAACAGCAAGCTATAAAGGGCCCCAAAAATGACTGGTGTAAAACAATTCTAACAGGAAAACCAACGGTCTAATCTATATAAAAAACGACTCGAGAAACGAGAAACACCTATGAACCACACCAACAAGCGACAACCACTGAACAACAGGCTCCTGACTTAATAGGACAGGTGCATAGAAATGCGGGCTTATTTTACAGCTTTTCTTGATCTTTTCGGAGTTTTTTTCTGTGAAACCTGTAGGGGACCTAGAACTTCAAAGTTTGGAGGGTGAAGTCCTGGAACTTTATTTTCTCCTTTGTAATGTATTTCTAATCCCAAAATGTATTCGGAACCAGAGCCCGCCCCGTGACTATTGTAACAGTATATATATAGTTATATAATAATCAGTACATTTGATAGGTGATAGGGTAATATATTGACTTGTGAAATGAGGCCTAGTTTATTTTTTTTGCAATTTTTTAAAGTTAGTTGGTATTTCAGGTAGATTGACTGGACTGTTATCGTACAAATCTAGTCTATTCATATTATCAAAATATCCTGACAATGTTCATAATTTTGTTTTTTATAAAATCTGGGTCAATATATATGTTCCTGTTTAAATTAAAATTTTTAGTAAACATGTAAATCATTTTAGTGTCTATAAACTATGTCTAGTGCTATATCTGTGTCTCTGTAATATATTGTATCTGTCAAATTCATGCCTTTTATCTTGAATAAATATATATATTGTTTGCCAAGGCTAATAATTTCGATTTCGGATATAACACCCTGAACCGTTCTCGTTTTCATTATTATAATAATGAAAGCGAAAAACTTTGTTTTAATTTTTCTTTCCAACTTATTTTGTTAAGCTTTTAACCATGAAATGGCATCGTTCAACGAAAACGAAGATGATATAGAGGATGGCGTCCATTCTCCTTTACTAAAGAAAAACGGTAAGCCTACATATCAGAAAAAGGAGGAGAGCTGGAGTGAATCACTGAATTATAATTTTCATTGAATGAACAGTTCATGAGTCAAGCCTTTATCTGTTTATTTATTTGTTTTTTGGTTTGAGTTTTCCTTTTCTGGGTGTGCACATAGTATATATTGTATTTGTGTATTAATAAATGGGGGTATGGCAAGACCTGTCTACTCTAGTCAGTTGTATTTCATCAAGGATTTGTATACTATAAAAATCCTTGATTCCATTTAATTCCTAATAGCCCTGCCCCTTGTATTTATTTTTTTTATACGACTGTAAAAAAAAATTTGGGATCGTATAATGGTATGATGTCGTAGTCGTCCGAAGACACATTGGTTTCCGGACAATAACTTTAGTTTAAGTGAATGGATCTCTATGAAATTTTTTAAGAAGGTTCAATACCACAAAAGGAAGGTTGAGATTGATTTTTTAGATGATGTCCTAACCGTTTAGGAAAAAGCAGCCCAAAACAAGCATTTTTCTAGTTTCAGGATAGGGGAAAATCGCCTAATTGCGGACAGCACCGATATGCGGACGGAAAACGAATATCTCACTTTCATTGACTTTTCAATAAAATTATGAAAAATTGAAATAAAATAGATATAAGAAATAAGGTGTTTTGTTTACTATTGAATCTCTATTTTGTTGCAATAAGGTTATCATGTCTATTACTTACGATTTACTTTTGTGTCATGTGATTGAAATTGCATGCTATAAATAGATTATGTCAACAAGTTTGAAAACCGAAAAATTTTGAAAAATTCCAAAGTAAGCGTGTCACATTCAATACACAGTTGTTCATGTAAGAATGGCAATTTATGTGTTGAAAAGCAATAGGCATTGCATATTTTATGCAAGGAAACATTTCTTTTAATTATTTTTACTGATTTGTCTAAATTTGGATTACAAAATAGGAATAAGCAAGTGTCCGCATTTTCACCACCGAAAATAATATGATAGCCGAAATGCGGACACACAATATTTTGAACAACTAACACGTGCAGTGGTGCATATGTCAATACCATGATGACGGAAATAAACTAAACTCTCTTATAATCTAGCATTATTAGTTTCAATCCGATACATTTATATCAATAAAGCGTTGATTTGGGTTTATTTGTTTTGCTTTCATTTTGCATATTACGAACATAATGCGTTTACAAGTCTGATTTCCACTCCAGTTGGCAACTTGCTCACATCTTCAATAGGTCAAAAACTGAAAACGTCATCCCCGGGATGGCAAGCCAATCTATTTCTCTTTCTTTACAGAATGTCTACATGTTTAGGACTTTTTGCGAAAGCGAATGGAATGAAATAAAATGTACAGAAAACAATCGCCCGAATGAAATTGCAACAATGTCTCGTAGACGAGTGGCTGTTTGACAATGATGTTATTGGCTATTTATCTATGAAATTAATACGTTTATCAAAACATGAATATGTATCAACACTACTATGCAAAGTTATTGAAAGTGATAAGGAAAATGAATTCAGCAGCATTACGTTTTATATTGGTAGAAAATCAAGCAGAAGAGGTAAAGAGTTGGACATTCTTACTGCGGAAGAGGCAGATGAACTTATTGATATCACGAATATTCTTTTGATAGAAATGTTTTTATAAAACTATTCAAAACATGATAGAAATAATGTAACCAATACATTGGTTTTAAAGACCTCTTTAGACTTTTAGTAACGACTTTGTGCATCCAGTCGTCTGTCTGTCTGTTTGTCCATCCGTCTATGAAAAATTGAAAAACAAACGAGGCCCCTCATGGGGAGGTACCAGTAATTGCATAATCACCAAATTTTTGCCAACATAATCACATAATCATTAAATATTTGCTTTGGTAATCAAAAACTTATTTTCTGTAGTTATCAAAAAATCATAAACTAAAAGCTTTGTTATCATATAACAATTCAATTGTAAACTATTTAATAACTAAACAGTTTTTAATATGCTCTTCCTCGTCCTCATCCTTCTCCTCGGGTGAAACTGTTATACAGTATCACCTGCATCTTCCATATTTGGTTCGGTAATTTTCTCATGTGAACGACGTATGCCTCACGTTTTTTTTTAACCTGCATGGACGAATGAATGTTAGTAATTAATCATCCTTTGCACCTATCGTTAACCTGTTGTGTTTTAGACATTTCCTCTAAGGCACAGAACTAGGTATGCATGTTCTGCACACACTGGTATCCTTTCGCCATTCGGATAAAATCCGATATAGAAAAAAGTATATATGTGATGAAATGCAACTAACACCAATAGCGTATCATCATGCGTGACCACAATCTCCAGCACTACGTCTTTATTATGGCCTGTCGACTTTTGGCGGGTGCCCTATTATAGTAATCACTCTGCACGTCTATTCATCCGTCCGTCTACACTTTCTATGTCGTAGGATAACTAAAATTTACTCCGACAGATTTAAAAAAAAATTTTAGCACAACATTTAGTAACATTAGGGGAAGCTCCCTTTCATTTTTTTTTACTTTTCATTTTCGAGATATTGGACTTATGCCAGCAAGACCCTTCATTGAGGAGTGACATTGGTCAGTATTCATAAGAGAAAATAAAAGGATGTGAAGTAAATGTACATCATTACATGGGACATAATCGCACACAATACATAGAAAAAATAAAAAAATATCAATGAACAGGGCTTTTATTCCTGTTCTTCATCTTGACAGTTGATGTAGGGTCTTCAACAATGAAAGCATCATTCGTATCCTACAAGGTCAAGACGGTACTATTGATAAAAATAAACCAAAGTTCACCTTCTTGCTCCCTACCCGCCTCGGAGTGCCAACTTGTGTGATGCTTGTGTACGACGGTTCTCCAGTCGAAAGCACCAGGGATACAAGAAAAGTGCACTAATTTTGAAAGACATCGATCGCCGCTAAAATATGCTTTGAAGTTACACATGTCAGGAGCGGTCAATGAATTACATAATTTATAATTACAGACTAGGTTTTTCAACATCTATTTGTCATACATTGCCCAACAAAAGACCAATACATTAGAAACAACAAATGCTAGACAATACTTATAAAACTAAACATAATACTGACTTTTCCATAATTCCCTAAAATTTTTGGTGTCCATTTTTCCATATTCTTATTTTTTTTTTTTTAACATTCCAATTTACAAAATTTGCATGTTCCCTCACACCTTGCATTTTTCCATTTTTGATTTCCCATGCAATTCTTACAAATGAAGCCTTTTTACACATTCCATAAACTGTTTTTAGATGTTCATGGTGTTGGATGGGCCGCAAAAAATCATGTTAGTCAAAGAGTACATAGAAACCAGACGATAAATAAAATTATCTTATAAGTATCGGAAAGTGCAAAAAAAAAATCTTGCCTCAAGGCATCTTATGCTCTTGAGTTAGGGCTACGGATTTTTAAGTGATTAGGACATAAAAACACATTGCAATGAATGCCATACGATTTGAAATTGAAAATTATCACAACTAAATCTCGTATATATGCATGCATGCATCTTGGAAGACAATATCCCGATGGAAGTTGTCAGAACAAAAAAGTTTCTGCATCTTATTTCATTTAATAATTGGTGTGGTATAAGATATTTAATGAACTTTTTTAATCTTATTTTTCTCACCTTTCCACATGTATTACCAGTTCATGCGAGAAAACCATTCTCAAACATGCTTTAAGATGCACTGAAGGGTATTCCTTAGGGGTATTCATGAGAGCTAATGTTATATATGCATAATACCGGCATTTTGAATAGCAAGAACTGTTTAAAAATAAGTGTCCGCAATTTGACGACAAGGTGTCCGTATTTTAACTCCTCCTGTCCGCATTTTACTCTGCATTTCCGCGGGTTTTAAGAGTTTGCAATCTACTAATCAAGAGAGGAGACCTGAAAACGCGGGAAATAGTCCATTTGATACCCCTCTATCCTCTCCTGTCAAATGCAACCACCAGTATGTCCGCAATTGGCCTCAACGGTATCCAAACTTGCGGATTTGAAAAAGTGTCCGCAATTAGGCGAATTTCCCCTAATAACTTGTGTATAAGTATTTCAATTGCTCTGAAATTGTACGACAATGTTTAATACCACAAGTAGAAGGTTGGGATTTATTTTAGGGGTTATGGGGCCAACAGTTTAGGAATTAAGGGCCAAAAGGGGCCAAAAACAAGCATTTTTCTAGTTTCCAGACAATAACTTGTGTGTAAGTGTATGGATCTCTCTGACATTGTACCACAAGGTTCCATATCACAAAGGGAAGGCTAGGATTGAGTTTGGGGTTAATTGCCCAAATATGTAGGAATTAGGGGCCAAAAAAGGGCCAAAAACAAGCATTTTTCTAGACAATAACTTGTGTTTAAGTCTACGGATCTCTCTGAAATTGTACTACAAGGTTCCATACTACAAATGAAAGGCTGGGATCGAGTTTTTGGGTTACTGCTCCAAGGGGGGTTTCAAAAAGTTGGGGGGGGGGGGATTTTTTTTCCAATTTTTTTAGAGGATTCATATTTTTTTTTCAAAATTTTTCAAATTTTGAATTTTTGAAAAGTTTCAAGAAGAAATCTTCAATTGCACAGTATTGCGCAATAGATTTGTAAGATCTTTGACCACATTTATTTTGTGTCAGAAATCTATATTATGTCAAAAATTTTATCACAATCCAAATTCAAACAGTATCAAGCTTGAATATTGTGTCCAAATTTGTAACCACTGTTCAGGGTTTGACCTCTGCGGTCGTATCAGGCTGCGCTCAGCGAAGCATTTTATTTATCTTCATAAAAGATGCTAGTATTAAGATTCCTATGTCCTGTCTACTATTGTTAGGCAATCCCATCTATGTAAAACTAGAGCCTCCTTTGAGAGGAAGGAACCTCATGTACACTCAAGTTTTTTTGTCTGGAAGTCTGTTCGTATTATTAACATCATCATTAATGTTAGATGAACAGACTTAATAGATGGAAAAAGTTACCACCCATCATCTTTTACTTTGTCCAAGTAGCAACTTTCTTCTTCCAGTTGTGGAACCAAATTCAAATTATAAATGAAAAGTTTGTGCAGTGTTGGACAACACAGAAAGTTGTCTCTTGGCGATTTACTTTTAAAACATTCAAAATAACACTTCACAATTAAAACTTAGTACATCATGGTGTTGCCTAGTTTATTTCAGAGCATGCCATCAAGGCAAAGTTCTCTGAATCTAAATATGTTGGGTGATGTTACTGATGTTGGCAGTTTGTTCGAATCCCTGATTGATTTGCAGTTGACTTATTACAATATTATAAGTCATGGAGTTTATATTGTAATAGGTTGTTTTTTAGGAGGTTATCGATGTGTAAACTTAGCTAACTCACTTGAAAACTGAATAAAGCCCAAAGGAATTTGTTAAGTTTGTGAGTGAAAAGCTGATTTGTTTAATACACATGATACACATAGATAAACTTCTTAAAAATAGTTATACATTGTAAACTTTCACAGATCAAATATTACTTGAACACTAACAGAACTATTTCACCTCAGTCTGTATAGGAATTCATACTTGTGTCTTCATGAAACAGATTTATAAATACAATTTTCTGTATAAACCTTTTGGTTGCTATGATGTTCACAAAATAAAATAAGACTGAACATATAACATTTGAATTATTGAATTTTGCACTATCAATATTATTTACAGTTACTTTTGAAGTCTAAAGTTCTGTATAAATTGTTTGTTTAAAGAAAGTACATGTACAATATCTTGGGGGTTTAAACAAAACAAAAAATTACAGAATTTTTTCATACTTTGCCAAAATGTAGTTTATCTCATGGTATTTTCAAAAATATAATAGAAATTATAGGTCACAGCTTTTTTTTCAAGCCTACGTACAGTCTCGGCCTTCAACAATGAGAAAAACCCATACAATATATATATAGTCGGCTGTAAAAGGCCCTGACATGAAAAAAATGAAACAATTCAATTGAGAAAACTAGCGGCCTAATTTATAACAAAACAATTTAAAAAAAACAAACATGTTTGTGAGCACTCAACCCTCCACTTAACCTGCGACAGTGGTATAACAACACAACATAAGAATAAACTATAAAAAGTTGGAATAGAATTAACCACTTTCTAGAAAATTGGTTGACACATTAAATAAAAAAGGGATGTTGTGTATTCAATCATGAACCAAAATCCCTCTTTACAATGTACTAACTATTATTGACACAACCAAATGCAAAGGAATTTCTTTTATTGCTGTACAGTTTTGATAGCAAAACATGTAAATTATGTATAGGTCTTGTGCAATTTCAAGCTTGGCAAATGGTATAGACTTGTATCTACTGTTAATAATAATATAAGAAGAGTGGTTTAATGTTAGCATCTATAGGTCACCATACAGCTTCAACAACAAGAAAACCCCGTATCATATGATAAGCTATAAATGACCCTGACAAAATGTAAAACAAGTCAAATGAGAAAACCAAGAGGTGAATTTATTTACAAAACAATAAACAAACAGAAAAGGCTAGACAGCAACCAATGACAACCACTGAATTACAGTCTCCTGGCTGGGACAGGCACATACAGACAGCAACCAATGACAACCACTGAATTACAGTCTCCTGGCTTGGGACAGACACATACAGACAGCAACCAATGACAACCACTGAATTACAGTCTCCTTGCTGGCACAGGCACATACAGACAGCAACCAATGACAACCACTGGATTACAGTCTCCTGGCTTGGGACAGGCACATACAGACAGCAACCAATGACAACCACTGAATTACAGTCTCCTGGCTTGGGACAGACACATACAGACAGCAACCAATGACAACCACTGAATTACAGTCTCCTGGCTGGGACAGGCACATACAGACAGCAACCAATGACAACCACTGGATTACAGTCTCCTGGCTTGGGACAGGCACATACAGACAGCAACCAATGACAACCACTGGATTACAGTCTCCTGGCTTGGGACAGACACATACAGACAGCAACCAATGACAACCACTGAATTACAGTCTCCTGACTTGGGACAGGCACATACAGACAGCAACCAATGACAACCACTGAATTACAGTCTCCTGGCTTGGGACAGGCACATACAGACAGCAACCAATGACAACCACTGAATTACAGTCTCCTGGCTTGGGACAGGCACATACAGACAGCAACCAATGACAACCACTGAATTACAGTCTCCTGGCTTTGGACAGGCACATACAGACAGCAACCAATGACAACCACTGGATTACAGTCTCCTGGCTTGGGACAGACACATACAGACAGCAACCAATGACAACCACTGGATTACAGTCTCCTGACTTGGGACAGGCACATACAGACAGCAACCAATGACAACCACTGAATTACAGTCTCCTGGCTTGGGACAGGCACATACAGACAGCAACCAATGACAACCACTGAATTACAGTCTCCTGGCTTGGGACAGGCACATACAGACAGCAACCAATGACAACCACTGGATTACAGTCTCCTGGCTTGGGACAGGCACATACAGACTGTGTTGGGGTTAAACATATAAAAATAAGGAGCTGTGGTATGATTGCCAATGAAAAAACTTTCCATCAGAGACAAAATGTTGTAGAACCTAACAGCTATAGGTCTGTGTATGAGCAAAACCCATACCACATAGATAGTAAGGTGTTTGTTTAAAACAAAATCTTCATTCTCTCAATAACTTCTAATGCCATCTTGATCTCAAAAAGGATTTTTTTGTTCAAATACCAATTTTCATCTGTTGAAATTTCAGCATATCCTTTAAGAATTTTTTATTAGTAATAAGTATAAGGAAAATTTACCACCATTATCATCATGATAGGTTTTAAAGTAGTGTTAATCAACTCAGATGAAATGACTGAAATAAAAATTTCTTAACTGGATCAATCATTTTTGGATGAAAAAACAATTTCAGAAATTTAGAATATTAAAATATTTTTTTAATCTCACTGACCTGTACTTACAATACAGCAATTATACATAAATTTTAGGTTCCAAATTTATTTCTATTTAAATGATTAATGTCGACTGTATGCTTTGATTTTTAGCCTTCAGTCATTGATGATACATATAGTAATTAATGTACATGTATAGTGTGATTGATAAATATGACATATTTATGAACATGAAAATTGGTTAATTTTAAAACTGAATGCATAAAATATTTGGATTAGATTTATTAGATATGGAGTACTTCATGTTTAATTGTGGTTTCTCAGCTGGTATGTCTTATTTTTCTATGTTATTCTTGCTTTTAAAGAAAATTCATCATATGTAAAAATGTAGCAAAACTGTTCAGCTATTGTAACAATCAATACTATTCTTTAGTTGACATATACAAATATAATTTTGATATGGGTTATAAGATTTGACATTATTTGTATATTTTCCCACTCTGAAGTAGGAAAAATATTTAAAGAAGACAAAAAAATTGTATTGCTGCCTTGTTGACCTTTTATTATAATAATAACTTTATTAAGCACTAATTACACCCATTTAATTAGAGGGTCAAAGGCATAATAACAATTACATGTATAAACAACAATATAATGATGACATTTGCATAGATATAAAACAAATTATTAAACACACAACACAACAAATGACCTCAAGTGCCCCCTGTCCTCAGTTCCATAGACTGTTTAAATTCATAAATTATAATTATACATTGGCATGCTGTGGATTAATACATTCGTTTCCACTAACATGTTTGGTTAGTTGGAAGTGAAACACATGTGTTTTATGAGGATTTTAAGTTTCTTATCTTGCTCTTTACTCATTAGTGATAAAAACTTTACAAAATTTGTTCAACAACTCCAAAACCTTAAAAAGAAAGTTTGATGACAAGTCTAAACATACATTGGTACTTTATATTATTCAGCCTATTAATTATTTGACACTGGAAGTCATTTACATTATTTTTTTTATATCATATCACCAGCAAAAAGGTAAAATGTTCTGTTTGTTCAGATATAAATATGATGTTTTAATTGTATATTGATATATACATGTATATTTAAATGGCATTATCTAAAACTCACAATTTTATTAAAAGAATGCTTATTTTAAAAAGATTTGAGATATTTAATAAATTTCATATGTAAATGGATGCATTTATTAGTTTCAGAGTTTAACATTATAATTTGAACGATATAAATGAAACAGGTTGCTTATTTAATAAGAAGAAAATATGAATAATATTTAATCTCCAAGTAAAATATCTACATTAACTTATGTTATATGAGCTGCGTTGTTTAGCAAGTCCGCATATAAATGTAAATGTATAATACTTTGATTGATTTTGGAACATTCAAATACGGAATTGAAAATGAATGTTGGTCTGTTTTGTAGGGTTCTTATAATAACTAAATTTGCAAACAGTTGCAGATTTTGCTTAGAGATTTTTTCAACCCGAAATATAATAACAGATGCTTTCATATTCATTTGCATAAAGTCGATTTCTATCCTACGCAGCTCATATGTTATTTTAAAGTGTATTTTTAAAACAATTTTGTATGATTCCATTAAGTTTTATTTCCCTTTAAACTATAAAATCTCTCATTTTTAGATGAATCCTTTCCTACGATAACTGTAGAATCAGTAGAAAATGAAGGTGATGATATTACCACAGTTATCTTACCTGATGTTCCTGAAGAACAGGAGGAAAATGGTGCTCTCAACAACAATGCATATAAACGTTATGAGAACGTGGATGATTGGAAAATGTCATTCCCCAATAATATCCTCGCTGGTTTACCAAGTGTCAAGATGAGAAAGAAAAAGGCAAGTAATCTGAAAATGGACCAGAGACGAACAATACGTCAGCATGATAAAGTTTATTGTCGTGTTTCAAAGCCACCAGAACAACCCCCACCTCTACATGAAAGAAGGCAAAGATTAAACAGAAGACAGAAATCAGTTCGAGAAAACATTGGTAGTTTTGTGACATCTTTTAGGTACATTTATATCTTTCACTTTTGTCAATGTTTTAATAAGCAGGAATGTAATTAAGCAGGGACTCAGTAGCCCTTGACCCCTGAAATTTGAATTGGGCTACTATTATTTTTCACATTTTTGCTTGATCATATAACACTGGGCCACCAATAATATTGGTTGGGCTACCACTTAAAAAATTTTAATTTCCGTCCCTGCTAGTAAGTTTGATTGTCGTGATTGTTCTGTGAAATATGTGGACAAATGTTTAACGATACCAAATCGTAAATATTGTCAATTTTCAAAATGCAATTAACATTATGCAATTTTTTTTAAAAAAACATGGTCATATTCCTTTGATAACTACAACAACTGTATTTAAATTTATGTTTCTGAGATTTATTTATTGTCAATAGTTGGAGAAAATTTCATGAATATTGTGAATATGACAGCATTTTTCCTACCCTTAACTTCTCTCTTTGTTTACTAAGTGAGTAATTTAAGCCCCTTAAAAAAAGTTTGCAGTATTATTTTAGATGGTTCATAGCAGAGGCGGATTAAGAGGGTTTTCCAGGGGGCCTGGGCCCCCCCTTTTGTGGGAAAAATTTGGTTGATTATATAGGGAATCACTGAAGCATGACTGGAGCTGGCCCCCTCTTAGGCAGTCAGTGGGCCCCCCTTATGAAAATTTCTGGATCCGCCACTGCATAGTGTATTCATGGTAAATGTTAAACCATGTGGCATAGAAACAAGAATAAAATGAAAGCATGATGTTTCATTGCTTTAATTACACTGTTGCATATTTTGTTTCTATTTTCATCAAATGTGTTTTTTTTTCACAATTTCAGAACTGCAACTTTTCGAGTATACAGGACAATTAAAGATAAAAAAAGACCAAAGGTAAATACATGATAATTTCTCTCTTTCCTGGTTGTTTGCTTAAGCATTGCAGTTTAAACAGAGGCAATGATTATGTCATTTGTCCAATCAAATGTCAGTATTTTATGTAATCAAGCCGAAACTCCACTTATGTCATTGTCAACAAGTGTCAATTTAACTGTAAATTGATGCTAAGGAAACTACCTTAAACATTTGCCAAACTTCAGTTTACTACGCTTTTGTAGAAGAGCTCTTATAATAACTTCCTTCAAATAATCACATGATTATTGATAACAGTTGAAGAAAGTGTCACCAACTAAAGGAGTAGGGCAATAAGGCCTGTATTTGACCCAAAATTAGTGCAAAAAGTGTTCATACATGATCTTATATTTGCCTTTACATGACCCAGCCTGTAAGTGGTCAATGAATGAAAACAAATTTCATATTTGATGCGTTATTATAGCAAGAAACCATGAAGAAGTAAACATATTTTGTAAAATTTCTTTATTTTCCTTGTTTTATATCAATTTTAATATATTTTGGATTAAAAAGGATAGACTGCACTAAAATAATAAAAATTCTTGTTATTTTGCTGTGGCCAATGTTTCCACCAATGAAATAGGGATGAGAAATAACATAAAATCAGTATTTTCTTATTTATTATGATGTGATTATGACAACATAGCTTTGTAAATATTGTCTTTTTGATTTAGATTTCTTGATTTTATACATTTCACAAAATTATCAGTAAATTTGAAGTAGTTTTCTATGACAAAAAATGGACCTGAATGTGCCTTCCACTTTATAATAAAACAGTCCACATAAAATTCAGAGAAAAAGACTGATTACTGAGGTTGAATAATTGTTTAAATCATTATGACTATTTTCAAACCAAATAAAACAGTATCAAAATCAAATTTTAAAACAAGTAAACTGGATCATAATAAATAATTAGATTTAATTTGAATATTCAGTGGACTTTTAAGTGTTTGAAAATGAATTAAACTTGTTATTTAAGTTGTTCTTTATGTATGCATATATATATGTTTATAACTAAATATAACTATGATTTATATTCAACTACATAACAACATTTGATTGTAAACATGTGATTGCAAAGTATATCTTTAGGTTTCTGTTCATTTTTGTATTGCCAGATAGTGTCCAGCAGTTGCAACACAAATGGATCACCTCTGTTGTCATTGTTATCATCTGTATCACACTTTTATTAATTTGCAACTCCACAAACTTCTTGACAAAATTCAGGCAAATAAAATGCACAAACTCTTCAACAGGACATAAAGTTGTGCAGCAAGTTGAACTGCTATTCTGAATTTTTACTGAGTGTTAAATGGGGTTTCTTATACCAAAACAATTTAGCAATTTATGCTTATATTATTTGAAGATGACAGGCAACACGTAACACATATCTTTCTTAGAAGTCAGAATGAATTACATTGTTTTTAAAAAAATGTTCATGCATAGTTTTCATACAAAGGTTAAATTCGATATCCTTGCTAACAATTGAAGATATGATAAATGAAAAATTACAGACAGACTTATAAAAAAAATGTATATTGATTGTGTCCACAGAAATGGGAAAGATTTAAAATGAGATTAGAAGATTTAAAAGAAAAACTGACCTTGTGGACGGCTTCTATAAGAGAAGTAGAAGGTAAGATACTGTGGATTAGTTATTATTCCTTGGATACCAATTTTTGTGGATTTCGTGGGTACAGGTGGACCACTAATCTAAATGTTTAATGAGGTACAAATTTTCTATAGACTTGTATGTATTACTTTTGTAAAATCACAAAATTAAATATCCACGAAAATACAATTTTTCCTAAATCCACAAAAATTGGTACCCACGAAAATAAATAATCCACAGTAATAGTCAGTTAACTGTAAGTACAAATGAACTGTATTGATGATAATTGTGAAGGTATAAATCAGCTGTCCTCTATTGAAACGAATAATTCATATCTCCAAAAAAACAAAAAACAAAAAAAAACTGATACTTTGCAGAGATTTAAATTTTTTATTGAAAGCATGAAGCAGCCATTTTCAACACTTGAAAACAATTCTAAATAAAATTTGTAAATCTGTTTTTATTTGTTACTCTATTCCTAAAAAATAGAATAGAAAGGTTTTGGTGCATAGATTCATTACACGAGAAGGAAAAAAAAATAAATATATAATTCAGTTAACTCTGGATTCATCATTATTCGTTGTATACCAAATGTTCGTGGTTTTCGTGGTTAAAGTTGAACCACAAATTTAAAAGTTCAACGAAGTACAAATTTTCTACAGGCATGATAGGCTTGCATAGACTTTGGCTAAACCACAAAATCATGTATCCACGAAAATGTAATGTTTCCTCAATCCACGAAGATTGGTACCTGCGAAAAAATGAATCCACAGTAACTAGCTTAAATAGTTCCATGCTTTGCTGGTTTTTCATGAATATTAACAATTTTATAACACTTCAGATATTTACATTTGTCTTTTCAGGTCGATATGGAATGGCAATCATGACATACTTTAAATTCATCCGTTGGTTATTTTTCCTGAACATCTACCTTTCCATTATCATGTTAGCCTTTGTCATTTTACCAGGAAGTTTTATGTTACCATACAAATTTGAAGAATCTCTTACTGTCAGTAATATGACAGAGTATAAAGCCACAATGACGTGTTCTGCAAAGTATAAAACTTATATAGATAGTTTTACACGGAAGCTATCAACAGTTGACAAAATATTGGATTTCTTAGAAGGAACTGTAAGTTTTGTATATGATTCCAAATTGCTATGAATAATACATGTGGACATGTAAAACTGGCAGATATGTACGCAGGATTTTGAAAAAGGGGGGCCCAGGCCCCCAAAGTAAGCAATGTTTGGAGTGGGACATGTAAAAAGTCATTACATTAACGGTACATGTAGATCCATAAGGGGAACCCCCACCCCTTAATCCACTTTGACTGGTTTAATATTGCCACATTTTGTGATTGGACTTTGTTTTAGAGATCCATGGCCTTTTTTTGGTATAACATATAGCTCAGTTTCAGGATTCTGAAATAGTCCATGTGTATTTACCGTTTCATTACTTTGAAAAAATATAATAAAAAAATTCATATTTTTCTCTCCTGTCAATAAAAATACCCTGTAATACAATGAAAATACGAAAAAGAAATTTCTAACAACTGCATATTAAAAACAAGTGTATAACAATAAATGTGATCTTATTGGTTTATAATGATATTGTGATAATGCCTGTTATTTATTTGTTGTAAAAGTGGAATGCAGCTATTGGCTGATTTTGATAAAACAAAATGGAAAGAGTTATTTCATGACATTTTCTTAAGGCAGCATTGATATTCTTATGACCTTAAGGTAGATTAACTGTATACCACCATCTTGGATTGTGAAATAGCAGTTCACAATAGGTCTAGTTCTTCGCTTAAATCTGCAAATTTTAAGACAGATTGACAATTAATAGGTTAGACTGTTTATTCGAATAAAGAAAAATGAGTGATTTATTGCATTATATATATATTCAGACTGATTTAACAAATACCAAATATTTTTGTTTGTTCGAATCAAATTGTCAACTTAGCACGTAAGGGGAGATAATTTAAAAAGTAAAATTTTTACAAAGGAATGATAGAGAAATTGTCAATTTCTACTTGTAGCAAGAAAACGAGGTCAGTGACACCATTTTTTCTTTTTATTTTATTAAAACATATTTTAAAACCTATCTTCTCATATTTTATTTAAAAATTCTATCTCATAGATTTGTTTTTATTCACAAAAAAGTGTTTTTTCATCAACAATCTTTGCAAATTTGGCCAATTTTGCACGGCTTGTAGCTTGAAAAATAGCATGGTGACCCATACTTTTTATTATATTTTTGAAAAAAGCATGAAAAAATCTACATTCTGGCAAAGTATAAGAAAATTCTTTCTGAGGAACTATATACCAATGATCCACCTTAATTCAAATTATTGATATGTTAATAAATGATATTATATAGCAGTACCTTTTTTTTGTTTAGTCTGTACTTAAAACTTGTTTTACAGGGTACTGTAAATTCAGAAATTATTGCGTTCATTTGTTTTTGCGATTTTTGAAGAAAGGACTAAAATGCAAGATTTATTATGGAAAATCTGCATACAGGTACATATATCAGATATCAGATTGTGAGTTCTTATTATTAGGGCCCCGCATAGTGGCGGGTCGCCTAGAGTGATCAGTCTGTCCGTTCGTAACAAATTATATCTAGAGAACTGTTATAATTTCATACTTTATACTTGACATGTATATTAACCAACACCAGAGGGTGTGTCATAATGTTTGTACAACTTCCTAGGTGAAAGTTCAAACTTTGGTTTTAGTTGACAACCCACAGCGGGCCCACAGAGATGGCTCCCATCTCAATGATGTCTAGTTGCGAATTTCACCAGTCACTTTATTCGCAATAATTTCTGAATTTACAGTAGGATGTGGTACTTATTTGTATTTATGTGTAACCTGTATTTTGTATTCCTTTATAGGGTTGGATGGAAACAAAGGTCTTATTTTATGGAGCATACTTCAACAAAACAACAATTAATGAATTCAGTTCAAAGAAACATACGTCTAACAATATAAAAATACCAACAACAAAAAGACCAAAAAGAGACGTTGGAGATGTTCTAGATAAAGAAGCTATAGTACATTATACTATAGAAGGAGAAGACAATGAATCAAAGAAGTCTAATAAAACAGATGGAGAAAGTGAATACGAACTGAATTATAATATGGGTGTTGCTTATATTTCTGCTGTTGGTGTATGTCTAATCATCAGCTTTGTCAAAGTTGTTAGAAAGTAAGTATTTATCAATTCCTTTAAAAATATGTTGGTGCTTCTATGCATTAAGTTTAAAACAACAGATTTAATAAAAAATAAACTGTTACTTTTCTGAGTAGACATAATACATGTATAGCTCTCACTTTGTAGACATAATACATGTAGCTCTCACTTTGTAGACATACTACATGTAGCTTTCACTTTGTAGACATAATACATGTAGCTCTCACTTTGTAGACATAATACGTGTAGTTCTCACTTTGTAGACATAATACGTGTAGCTCTCACTTTGTAGACATAATACGTGTAGCTCTCACTTTGTAGACATAATATGTGTAGCTCTCACTTTGTAGACATAATATGTGTAGCTCTCACTTTGTAGACATAATACATGTAGCTCTCACTTTGTAGACATAATACGTGTAGCTCTCACTTTGTAGACATTATACATGTAGCTCTCACTTTGTAGACATAATACATGTAGCTCTCACTTTGTAGACATAATAACACTCATTATACAGTCTTTACCATTATTGGTGACCTTGCTGTGACTTTTAATTTTAGTCACCATTAATTTCAGTGCTCGTTTGTATGTCTAATTTTCCTGTACCAAGTAAATGCCAATGTACTCTTGTCCAATGTGACAAGTGATATATAATCTAGGCCAATGTGTTATAATGAAGATATTGTTGTAACATGATCAAGGCACACAATAGGTTACCAGAATAAAAAAAAAAAAAAAATTTTAAATTTTGATATTTGTTAAATTGTTTACTTTTGATGTCTGATACTGTTGTTTTTGATATGTTTTTATATTGTACATAGGACAGAACATATTAGACTAGGACACCAGGCTTTCCAATCACAGTTATCAATAGATCAGATACACTAAAGATTGTAATGCAGACCTTAAAAGATTTGAAACAACCTGAATATATTTGTTGATTTAATCAAATTTATATAATTCAAAGGACTTCTTTAAAATATGCCTTCTTTTGAAGAAAAAGTTTGATATAACATCAAACTTAAGGTTCGATTTTTAAACATACATCTTATGGATGCCAAATCTCACATTCTTTTTTGTGACTGTCTGAAGTCAAGAGCATGTAATCCAGTGGTTGTCTTTGGTAGCTGACTGCCATGATTGGTTTTAATATAAATCAGGCCATTGGTTTTATTTTTGAATTGTTACACATTTTGTCATGTGGGGGCATTTTATAACTTACTCTAAGGTACTGGCTTTGCTCATTGTTGAAATCTGTATGTTGACCTGTAGTTGTTTTCATCCTCATCCTTTGGTCTCTGGTGGATAGTTGTCTCATTGGCAATCATACCACACCTTATAAGGTAGTAGGTAGACCTCTGGTTGTTTACATCCTCATCCTGTGGTCTCTGGTGGATAGTTGTCTCATTGGCAATCAAATCACATCTCCTTATGTTTATATTTCCATTTCATCCATTAATTGACCAAACTAAGTTGGAAACATTAATTCACTGAAATCTCCTTCAGAGCTTTTAGTAATTTGTATTGCATTAATAAAACTAAACTGACTTTATCAAAGCCTGATGTTTATTGACTTAAGCTTACATTACATTGGAAAAAACAGAAAAAAGTGTTATTTAGACTTTTGAAAAAAATGTAAGATCATTGAAGGTAGTCAATACTTGATTATTACCTCAAATTTGTATCCTAATACTGAATATCTCTACATGTTGACAACCATATGTCAGTTTGTTTAAGCATACTTGTTTAAATAGCAAACTTTTCAAGTGTGGGCTTTGATTCATATTCCAATAAATTTTTGTGGTATGATATATTCACTAATATTTAACTCAAAATTGAAACATTTGTAAAGCACTTGCAAGGTAGAAAAGAGTTGAAATGTAAATTTTGAACTATACATCACAAAACATGTTTAACCCCGCCTCATATTTGCGCCTGTCCCAAGTCAGGAGCCCCTGGCCTTTGTTAGTCTTGTATGTTTTTTAATTTTAGTTAATTTATATGTTTTGGAGTTTAGTATGACGTCCATTTTCACTGAACTAGTACACATTTTTATTTGGGGGCCAGCTGAGGACCACCTCCAGGTGAGGGATTTTTGTTCTGCATTGAAGACCCATTGGTGGACTTCGGCTGTTATCTGCTCTTTGGTTGGGTTGTTGTCTCTTTGACATATTCCTCATTTCTATTCTCTATTTTATCAGGCTGTAGGTTTTCTCATTTGAACTGTTTTATATTTTATCATGTCAGGCCTTTGAAGTATGGGTTTTGCTCATTGTTGAAAGCCCTACAGTTCTCAATAGTTTTAAATAATATCAAGGTCATTTGGTCTCTGGTGGATAGTTGCCTCATAGGCAATCATACCACATCTTCCTATTTTATATACAAATGGAAAATCTAGTTGATCTTAGTAAAAAAAAAGCATGACAATGAATAATGGTAGTTTTAAGTTGAAATGTAACCTATCAGATTTTAATTTTTTGAAGTGGTTACTTTGAATTTATCTATTGTAGCTCAGCTAAAAATATGAAAGCATCCTATGGTAGAGAAGGCAAGCCAGCTAAGTACAGTAGTCGTGTGTGGGCTGGATGGGATTTCTGTATTTGCAAGGAGAAACATGCCAAATCTAAAATGGCCAGTATTAGAACAGATCTTATTGTAAGTTTTTCAATAATCATTTCTGGGCAGGTTAGATGTACTGAATTCAAGTATATGTAGGTAAGGAATTGACTGAGGCTTGTATTACTGTTGCTTTATGTGTACAGGGTCGGATTACATTACTTACATGTAGATAAAGTAGTAACTATAGATGTATGAATATGTAATGATTGCTGCAAAATTGCAAAAACAGGGTATGTTTACCGTAAGCAAGGTTAACTTTTGCTATTGTGAACAAGCTTGGAAATCTGTAACTTTATATGAAGGGGAATTGTCAACTCTTATTGCATTATGACTACCTTAAATTAACCAGAACGGAAATTGTTTTTCAAGCATAATTAAAATAGAAATAAGAAGATGTGGTATGATTGCCAATGGAACAACTCTCTACCAGAGACCAAATGACATAGATGTTAACAACTATAGTTCACCGTACAGCCTTCAACAATGATTAAAACCTATACCACATAGTAAGCTACAAAAAGCCCCGATATGACAAATGTAAAACAATTCAAACGGGAAAACTAATGGGAATGTTTACTAATTTTCTCCCTAACAGTCCGGTTTATATAGACTTTTTACAAAATATTTTTGACAAGTTGTTCGGTGTTGAAATAAAAAGTTGGTCAATAGAAGCCCTCTGATTCAGGTAACTAGTGAATTTTCCCCTTGATACAGCTGAGTTTTACATGAACAATCTATATTTCTATAGCTAGTTTTGTTGTTGAAAAGAACAGGAATAAAATAGGTTTACACATGACTGGTTTATACTGTAACTATATATAACAAATTACTGTAATCAGCCTTGTATAGTTCGCACTGGTACATTGTCCGCACCCCCCTTTCTCTCCATGAAAATTCAGGAAAAAAATCTTTTTGTAACTGTTAGAAAACGTCTAATGAAACTCTGCTAATTTCAAATCATGTGTGATCGTTTGCGGTATTTTCATGGAAAAACCCATTTCCATTATTAATTAGAAGTTGAAAATGCTTGTAAATGATTCTAGAACATATCACGAGTGTTGAAATAAGTCGAAATCACAAAAAAAAACAATTTAGAAACTTGTGTATGTTTAAACTGGAAGTTCGAATAGAACGTGTAAATGAAAATAAATACGGTGAGAGTGTACAGAAAACCCGTACTTAATAGATATCACTAGAATACTACTTTGAAAGTAAAACAGTTCCATCCTTGAGTGAAATAATGTTTAACACATCTATCACATTCATGTTTGAAGGATCTTAAGCTAAAACAAAACACATGCATCAGTATGAAACACCAAAACGGAACGAGCAACCGATTACATTTTGTTGTTGATACATCGTTATGCATAATCTGGTTCCTGGTTGACTTCTGCACTTTTTTCGTTCCATTAAATTCAAGCAGATTCCAGTTTATTTTAAGCAATGCAGTGAAAAGAAACGAGAAATTTGTAGTGAAGCATTTAATTTTGAAATTTAACAGTTTATATTTGATATTGAATAAAACTTACATATTAATATGAATTAGGTAAAATTATTAGTTTTTAAATTAAAAAAGTGCCCTCTACAATTTCATTAATAAACATGGCGGAACGTAAACAATCCTCGCGAGATCGATTTTTCTCTTATTTCTTGCTTATCGTACTCTATAGTCAGCACCCCTGTCTGGCAGGTTCAATTTTGGAGAATAAAACTGCAGACTATACAAGCCTGAATTGGGTAAGCATAATACATTCTGAAGACTAAAGATACACAATGACATATCAGTCCTGCCAAGGTTTGTACACATTGACTGTCAGTATGCAGCAGCAACTAGCCAGTTTACTAAATTACTTTAAAATTGAACAAGTTGGTTATCTTTTAAAGATGTAAATAGTTTAAACTTGATTTATTAATTGATTCTACCACTGCATCAAGTGTGACACAATATTTCTTCATTTGAGAAGGTTAAATTTAGATATTTAAAATTTAACTGTTGAGAGTGGAGAAATATCTCATTGCACGAATTTTGGTGGTGGAATCTGTTTCTCTAATTTTTAGAAGATAAGTTGGCAAACTTTAACTTTCTTTTTCAATTATTTTCAAAAAGATGTGTTCTTTCTATGTGACGTCATCAGGCATAGTTGTCTTTTTTGTGACGTCATAATTGCAAATTCATAAGAAAGCAATAAAATTTTAAGTCATAATTGAATTTTGACTAATGAAGAACTGAGATCAAATGAACCACGCATAAAATAGTATGCATTGGCTAAGAATTAGTGAAAACTTATTATATTATTTACAGTAAATCAAGCTTATTATATATCTGCCAAAGATAATGCATACTATCAAATATTTCAATAGGCAGAAATACAGGATACTAAAAAGAAGGACCTGTGGAAAAGGAGATCTTTAACAGATAAATTGATGGTATATGGCTTCAGAATAGTCATTAATGTTCTTATCACTATCCTACTAGGACTTAGTTTAGCTGCTATATATAAAGTTACAGAGCAAATGATGCAGGTAGGTATTTTATTGAAATAAAAGTAATTGAATGAAGAATAAAATTATTATAAAGAATTTTGCTTTTTATAAGCTTATTTGGAATCAAAAGTTCAATTAATCCTAATATTTATTAGTTTGATTGTCTGCATGTGTCAGGGTGCTATACAATATGTTATCATCATAATCACCACCACAATTTGAACCAACATATACCTAAAGCATCCTGTAGGATATGCTTTCAATAACTTTCAGGCTAACCTTTATGAAGGTCAATATCTTACATATAATTTGCATGTGACATATATACAATTCATAATTCAATTATTTATGCAGTGATCTTCTTACCAATAGAAAGTTAAGAAACATACCTCAAGAGACATACCTCAACTGATCAGTTTCATATAACTTATACCTGCAGATTTTATCTTATTTAAATTTATCAAATAATGAATGTTCATGAATAGGCTATGAATTTACTTGATAGTATGTATCTTTTTTCCAGTTAAATTCAGTGTACCAGGATAAGTTGACAAGTTTAATGATAAGCTTTGCACCATACCTAACAATAACTGTACTGAATTTTGTTGTACCTAAAGTGTGTTGGAGACTGACTTTATATGAAAGCTACCTCCATGAAACAGAGATCAAAATGTCTATAAGAAGGTGAGTGTGGCTTTTATTGTAGAAGTCTGAAAATAATTATTCTCTGGTTCACCTTGTTTTTTATTAGTAGCAGTTTCAAAGGGATGTTATGAATTTATAGATTGTCATATATGAGTTGTAAAAAATTACAATCATAGCTGATCGTAATTATGATTTTTTTATAGAGTCTGTTAAATTCATTCACAATTAATCAAGACGCAGAGCAATGTAGAGCTTGACTTGCAGGATAAATTATTTCTTACAGTGAAAGACTATGTTATTTTTTAGCTTTTTTTTTTTGCTTTTGTTTTATTGTATTGTTGAATGCTGTCCTAACATCTCCAAGTAGCCTTTGGGTCAGTACTATAAATGCTGTCTGAAAAATTGATACATATCTTTTGTAACAAGTTTAATGTTAAATGCTTTTTTTCTAATGCAGGGCCATTCTGTTACGATTAGCATCACCCATGGTTCTGTTAGCATCTATTTATGTGGAAATAATAAATGTAGACACACCTCCTGTATGTGGAAATAAAAGATGGCAAGACAGTTCATCTGGACTTACTAAGAAAATTGTAATAAAGGTAAGATCAAGTTTACTAAAAATTGTGGTTTTTGTCTCGCCTTAACATGGTCAAAAAGCGAGACATAGGTATGTTCGTTTCCAGCGGTGGGGGCGGCTTCAATAATGTATTAGTTTGTGATTAGGTCTAGTTAATGGTGAACCATTAGTGGTGTGTCAATGATATTTGGTATGCAGTTGTATTAGCATTGGTACATCTCATTCCCATGGATATTATTTAACCCCTCCCCCCTCAGTCATGGTCTATTGACTTTGAAACTTTTGCTTAGCTAACATGTATTAGTTTGTGATTAGATCAGTTTAAGATGAACCACTAATGTTAAGTTAATGATATTTGGTATGCAAATGTATTGGCATTTGCAAGTCTCATTTCCCCACCCTCTCATCATGGTTCATTGACTTTGAAACTTTTACATAGTTTACTAGTTAATGTTTGTGTCTAGGTTTGTTTAAAGGGAACAATTTATGATAAGTCAATGGTATTTGGTATGCAATTGTATTAGCATTGGCACATCTCATTTCTATGGAGATTGTTTAGCCATGTACCTTCAGTCATGGTTCATTGACTTTGAATATTTGCATAACTTACATGTTAAAGTATTGCTATTTTAATTTCAACATTTGCATTATCAAAATAACAAAAAGGCGAGACATATCTCTATGTTAACATATATTTTGGGTAAAAAAATGAACATTTCTTTGCCATTTACTTATTAAATTTCATGAAAATTTTCCTTGTAGACATTAGTTTTTGTCACATTTAAAGATATTGAGCTGTTATATGATAGAAAAAATAGAAGTCTTAGAATGTAGGAAGGTTTTTCACATGATGCACACATTGTGCAGCTGTTCTTAAAAAAAACAAGATGAAAGAAAATATGTTTCTTTGCTATCGTGTTACAATGATACCCCTTTTTCCTTTCATTTTTTGTATCTTTATTTTTGTTATAAGGTTTTCATCTATTTATTTTCAGTGTTGGGAAAACTACATAGGACAACAGTTATACAGATTAGCTCTTATGGATTTGATTGTTACTACTTTCGTTATATTTTGTGGAAATTTTCCTAGAAAGTAAGTTGTATTTCTTAATTATATTCATTCATATTCATATTCAATCATATTCATATTCATTCATATTCATATTCATTCATATTCATATATTCATTCCTTTTTCATATTCATTCATATTCATTCATACATTCATATTCCTATTCATTCATACATTCATATCCATATTCATTCATACATTCATATCCATATTCATTTATATTCATATTCATTCATATCCATATCCATATTCATACATTCATATCCATATTCATTCATATTCATATTCATTCATATCCATATTCATATTCATACATTCATATCCATATTCATTCATATTCATATTCATATTCATTCATATTCATATTCATATTCATATTCATTCATATCCATATTCATATTCATTCATATCCATATTCATATTCATACATTCATATCCATATTCATTCATGTTCATATTCATACATTCATATCCATATTCATACATTCATATCCATATTCATTCATGTTCATATTCATACATTAAAGCTCTAGGCTTCAGGAATAGGTAATGACTATATTTTTTTTTTATTTCTTTGAGACATAGGTATGCTGTTTCGGCGGCGGTGGAGTCATCAACAATGTATTAGTTGTGATTAGGTCTAGTTTATGGTGAACCACTAGTGGTAGGTCAATGATATTTGGTATGCAGTTGTATTAGCATTGGCAAATCTCATTACCACGTAGATTATTTGGCCCCGCCTCCTCAGTCATGGTCTATTGACTTTTAAACTTTGCTTAGTTTACATGTATTAGTTTGTGATTAAGTCAGTTTATAGGGAACCACTTAGTGGTAGGTCAAAGATATTTGGTATGCAGTTGTATAAGTATTTGCATATCTCATTTCCATGGAGATTATTTGGCCCTGCCCCCTCAGTCATAGTCTATTGACTTTGAAACTTTTGCTTAGTTTACATGTATTAGTTTGTGATTAGGTCAGTTTATTGGGAACTACTAGTGGTAGGTCAATGATATTTGGTATGCAGTTGTATAAGCATTGGTACATCTCATTTCCATGGAAATTATTTGTTCCCACCCCCTCAGTTATGGTCTATTGACTTTGAAACTTTTGCTTAGTTTACATGTATTAGTTTGTGATAGGTCAGTTTATGGGGAACCACTAGTGGTAGGTCAATGATATTTGGTATTCTAATGTATGAGCATTGGCACATCTCATTTCTTTGGAGATTGTTTGGTCCTGCCCCCGGTCATGGTCTATTGACTTTGAAACTTTTGCTTAGTTTACATGTGTTAGTTTGTGATTAAAGATCAGTTTATGGGGAACTACTACTGGTCATTTCCATGGAACTTGTTTGACCCTGTACCTTTAGTGATGGTTCATTTACTTTGAACCAATACATAACTTACATGTTAAAGTATTGCTTTTTCAATTTCAACATTTGCATTTTACTATCGAAATAACAAAAAGGCAAGACATATCTCTGTGTTAACATTTTATCTAATTTTAGGTTGATCTATGACAGATGGAATAGCTACAGAATTGTAAAGTTTTTCGGTGAACAAGAGTTTGATTTACCTAGAAATGTTGTTGATTTGGTTTATTCTCAGTATTTATGTTGGTAAGTAGTTTAAATGAAAAATCGTCTTCAAGTTTGAAATGATAAAGAATCTGGAATGAGTAGTTAACATAGTTCTTTTCTATGCTATTACAGTCAAATGCTTTAAATAGAAGTTTCATGTAAAAATTAGATTTTTCAACAAGTTAATCTTAGAAAATATCATTGAAAAACCAACATTTTTGTGGTCATTTTATGGTATGTGTATGTCTTTCTTGTTCACTAATGGACTCTGTGGTTTCATTGTCATAACTATGTTTTAATTTGCTTGAACTTCATTAAAATGTTATCACTGTTTTATTTTGAAAAAACAACTTCTCAAAGGAGTAGGTGTGGTCCAGTAAGGGCTAGTTTTGGCCTAAAATTCAAAGTTCATCTGATGAAAGATTTTCGACACTTTTTAAATACTTAAGTGTCTACTTTAGTCGATTCAATTAGTTAATGTAAAAGATTTGAACTGATTTGGTCATGAAAGACGCTCAAATTCAAGCTTAAATATGAAAAATCTATCTAGTATGCCATAAAACATCACTTTTTAAATGGTTTTTGTTGAAAATGTAAGTGGCCACATTCTTGTTCAGTCTCAACCTTTATATATGTTATGTATTATCATCAAATACAACATATATTTACATATTAAGACTGAACACAAATGTGGCCACTTCCATTTTAGACAAAAACCATCTTAAAATTAGCACAAATGCTAAAATTGTGAAGATTTCATTAATTGTACATGAATTTATGATGCTAGTACCTGATGCATGTGCATTGTATTGTCAAAAACAACCAATATTTATGTAACAAAAGTATTCTACTTTTCAATAAAGAGCTAAAAGTTTACATTTCAACAAATTAGTAATAATGCTATATTTTGGGGCCAAAAAGGGGTCTTACCGGTCCTACTCCTTTATTTATGGGATTTTAATTTCTTCTGCTTTTTTGAGAAAAAATTCAAACTTTGAAAAGGGGTGGACAATTGTAATTCATATCCTTGAAATTTTACCTAAAGTTTTCAGACACATTTAGGTTATGAACCTGATTTTATTGCATTATTTGTGAAATTAGTTTCCATTTTTTCATCCTTTTTAACTTTAAAAATATTTAAACCTTTTTCAACATGAGATACCTATTTTGTGTGATTATTTTTTACCAAGATAATTAGAACTTAACAGGAAGTTGTATAATTATCTGTCAAATTGCCTATATATTTATATATTTTTTTAGCTGTTTCTGTTTAAATTGGTTTTTTTATTTTTAGGTTGGGTATGTTTTTCTGTCCATGGATACCTTTGATGACAGCTCTCAAATGTTTTATTTTATTTTATTTGAAGAAGGTAAATATCTAACATAAACTTTTCATAATATGTATTTAAATTTTAAGACTTCTTTATTAAGTTACTTAAATATAAAAGTATACTTTTTCCTAAACACCTCTTGTTGTCTCAAACTTGATTGACTCAAAATTTCACATGAATGTAAATAATTCTGGTGTCCTGCCATTGAAATTTAGTAATTTATATAGATTTACTCTGTCTGAATGGATTAAATGTCTTTGACATGCAAATTGACAATACAACTGTACCTGAATCCAACAGAAACAGTTATAAAGTCAATAGTAACTCATATATATATATAGGGTAATAATATACATGGAACAAGAAAGGGCTTCATCACAACAACCTTTCAGACCTAAAAAAAAACAAAAGGTAGCAAAATTAGAAAAATGTAGTATTTAAGCAAGTACGCAAGGTCACGTTATGGGGGACATAGACATACTGCCCAAACAGTCTCAGTTTTTCTTTCACATGTATAATTCTTGTCAGAGTTTAATCAAAGTTATACCAGAGGTTAATATCATCAACCTCGGGGACAAGTTAAAAAATCAGTGCAAATCAAATTCAACAAGAGTTATACCCCTTGGAAATTTTATTTATAGGGAAAATTGCATTTTAAGTGCTCTCATGTGTACAATTCTTGTCAGAATTTTATCAAACTTATATGAGTTTTGTATCAGCAAGGTCTCGGATAAGTTTGAAAATCAGTACTGACCAACTATTTTTAAAAGAGTTATGTCCCTTGGAAATATTAATTATATGGAAAATTGCATTGTAAGTGCACTCAAATGTACAATTTTATATTGTAAATTTCAATCTGTTCAGTGAAACAAAAAAATACCAAATACAACTAATCCTTGTGGTTTATATTTTAGTTAACATTAGTACATAATTGTCGTCCAGAAGACAGACCATACAGGACATCTCGGTCAATATCGTTGTTTATGACAGTACTATTGTGGTCCTTTATGTTAGCTGTGGTACCATTAATATATGTTATCAAATCGTAAGTATTATTATAAAAAAGACTGCAGTGAAAATTGGTAGAGAAATGAGCTAAATTTCTGTTTTTAATTATTGATTTATATGAAATAGATGTGGGAAAAAAAGGAATTACTATGGTCCCCATACTTTAAAAGGTGATGTTAAGTAGAAAGCAAAAAAAAACAGCGGAAAAAAAGACATTGATAAGGCAACATGTGATCTTCAACATTAGATAAGTGTCTATACCATAAATCAAACCGACACTGAGTAGTAACCAATCAATCTATACCATATATCATTATCTAAATCTCTCAGTTTAGTTCATACAAGGATTTCCTTTTTACATGGGTAAACCAATAAAAATAGACTGGAAAGATAATTAACCGAAAAGAGTAAAAAGTACCATTTTCTTCAATTCTTTTAACATGAAAATATTTCTTATCAAAGCTAATTGGTTAATGTATGAAACTCTAGCAGGTTTAATTACTAAGATCCATATTCTCAGAATGCCAGAAGTTTAGTAGGTCAAATTCAAGTGCATACTTTTTAAAGACCAATATTTTGCCTTTAATCTTGCTAGCTGATATTCTCTGTATCATTGAACTGCTCGGATACGATTCAGTCAATGTAAACATGAATGATCATATGAAAAAAAGAAAATATCAAGAGACAGATCGTTGGCAGTATACTCGAAAGGTTGGTTTACACGGTACGATTTTCCATTTAATTTCCATCCGATTTTTTACCTGTAATTTCATTTCGACAAAAATGTCTCTGTGTGAACACTCAAATCGGACGTCATTTGGTTAATCAAATCGTATTGTGAGAACAGAACGATGTAAGATTTACCTGGGCAAAGGTATAAAATCAGATGGGAAATCATACCAGGTAAACCACTTAATATTCTTGTCAATGGCAGGGGTATAAAAATCACATTGCCTACAGGTAGGGAAAAAGTTACATTGACAATATGATAATAATAATCGATAATTAATTTCAGGATTTTAAGAAAGGTAAAAGCATTTGTTTGGAAGACTTCACATTCTAGTTCAGTTGAGCATGTACTTATCACTAAGCTGTTCAATGCATGTCTTTGTTAACTGTATTTATATATTTGTGTTACATGAATGATCTGATATTTGGGGAACATGCCTATTCATTTAGTTCATTCTACAAAATATCACCAGTATTAGATTTACCCTTAAAGGATCTACCATAGTTTTGTAAGAGTTAATATAATCTTAAACTTCTCAGATTAAAAGCAGACATGGAATTTTTTGTATCTTTATCTTTTCAGTGTAAAAACAGAAGCCCATTTTGCACGTGAATTGCATTGATTTTTTTTATTAATAGAAGGTTAAATTGGATTAAATTTCATTTTGGGGATGTTAAAAACAATTGGATACTTTAACAAATTACTGCACACTTTAGTATACTTAAACAAATTACATGCACACTTTAAAATCTTTTTTCTCAATATTGTATTTCAATGTTCTTTTTCTGTAATATGAAACTTCAAAGTTCTACTTAATTTATGAAGGACTGATTGAACCCTTTTGCTTTGGATTGAAATAGATTAAATATTTGTTTTATAGACGATGTTTCTTTTTAATACAGAGGCATATCTCACTTTCACATAAAACATATTATATTTAGAACAATATATATTATCAGTAAGTAGGAATAGAAATGTCAGACATTTAATTTCATAAAGGACATATGACACACAATTAAGAAGTAATTGTAGCTTAAATTCTAAATAAGTTCTGTCTATACTTCAATTCATCTCAGACCTTTCTGTGCTATTTGTGGGTGTTTTGTGTTTGTGTGCATGAATTGTACTACATTTTGCCTGAAGACTTCTATCTGAATTATGCTGTAGTTTAGTCATGTTAAGGCTTCATCTCCTTTTTTGAGAATTTACTGAAGGTGTCCTAATTGATGTTCAGAAAGTGAAACTGCAGTTAAGTTCAGTTAAGATAAACAGTTTAATTTTGGAAATTTAAGGAATTTTTCCTTAAACCTTGAAAGCTGTATCAGGATATCTGCTGTCATTGTTGATACAGTTGAACACTTCACTTGTTGGCTATGGAGACCTATTTGTTTACCACACATTTAAGCTGCTTCGTTGATTTTACAAATTTGCCTTGTATAAAAGGTTGACAGGGGTAGAGGTACTTATACCATGATCATTGTCAAACCCTTGCATGCTTACAGTCAATTGTTGAACCAGTCAATAAACCATGACTGAATTCTAGTGCTGAAAGAAGGTATTTACTTCGTGCTCAGCTGGTGGAACATTACTTTAACTTCTTCTTTTGTATTTTCTTTAGCATTCAGAGCATGGAGTAAAAAAATATCATCACTAGTCAAATAAACATTAGTCAAAAGCTCCAAGTAGAAAAATAATGCAATATAAATAGTCTCGAATATGTCAAACTTTAATCTTTATGTTTATAAGTACAAAATAGAAATAAAAAAATTGCAGCAAAGTCAGCAAGAAAGGGCTAAATGTGAAAAAAAGTATCTGTGAAAATAATTTGGTTTACAAAATATGATTATTTGCTTAATCCATAATGTGTTATGATATTATTGTAATTTTTACATATTTTACAGATTACAACCAAGCCAAAGTTGTGGACCTTACAGACTATACAATGGAGAGTCTACTGTTATATTTGATTCCATTAAATTTCTAGTCAAAACATGGCCAATTTGGATTCAAAATTTTCTTTCCTATTTGTTCAGTGTTGGTTTTTGGTCCATCGTTATTGCAATACTGATGTGAGTTATTCTTTTATCAAAATATTGATTTAATTTCACAAAATATTGATTTAATGTCACAAAATATTACTTTTAAAACATATTTTATAGCTGACCTGGGCAAGAGAGTCAGTAAGAGATAGTGTTATTAGTATGTATCTACAAGGAACTGTGAAGTGTCAACTGTACAAATGTTATGTGGGACACTCTGCATCAGAATTAAATTAGATGTCAAAACCTGTAAACAAGTATCATCATGACATTGGGAAAGATAGGACATATAGAAGACTATACCACCTTGAAATTTAAAAATAAGGAGCAAATTTAAATACAAGTTTTTTTTAATTTTTCGTGGATAATTGATTTTGTGCTTCGCCAAAGTATGCATGCAAGCTACAGAAAATTGATACATCATTCAACATTTGAATTCATGGTTTTTCTTTACCCATGAAATCCACCAAAATTGGTATCCAACAAATAATAACGAATCCACAAGAACACACCGTACTCAGATCATCAGTGTTCTAACGATGGATGCTATTTTTTTTATATCTTCAAGACAAGAAAATGTTTAATATGGCTTTACATTGATTTTTAAGACTGTATTATTTAAGAAGACAATGCTGCTTTATTTTTCAGAGTAGGCTGTACTTCTGCCTGGATAATATTTGTCAATGGTTTAAAGACCAAAGAAAAATATCTGTCAAATGAGTTATATTGGGTATGTATAAAATCAAACCTGGTATAATTAGTTATATTGGGCAAGTATCAAATCTCATCTGGTATAATTAATTATATTGGGCAAGTATCCAATCTCATCTGGTATGATTAATCATATTAGGCAAGTATCAAATCACACATAGTAAAATCACACATAGTATAATTAGTTATATTAGGTAAGTATCAAACCACATGTGGTATACTTAGATATACTGGGATAAGAATCAAATCACTCCTTGTGTAATTAGATACATTGGGTAAGTATCAAATCATACCTGGAATAATTAGATATATTGGACAAGTATCAAATCATACCTGGTATAACTAATTATATTGTGCAAGTATCAAATAATACCTGGTATATTTTAATTATATTGGGCAAATATCAAATCATACCTGGTATAATTAATTATATGGGGCAGTATCAAATTTCACCTAATATAATTGGTTAAATTGGCCAAGAATCAAATCACATGTGTAATAATTATATTATATATTTATGGTTTATAGTTTTATTAGTAAATATTGAATTGTTCCTGGTATATCTAGTTATATTAGGGTGGTATTCCATCACCATCATTTCAAAAATTGTTAAATATATTAAAAATAGTTAAGATACGTTATAGATAATGCATATTTTAAGGTTTTTCTTGTCGTAGAACACACCGAGGGGTGTCAGGATTGATGAAATGAAAGACTGACCATAGGGAGGTCTTTCTTTGGGCAATCCTGACACCCCGAGGTGTGTTCTATGACAAGAAAAACCTTAAAATATGCATTATCTGACTTATATACGGTCAAAAAAATATTGTTTTTTTTAATGATTTGCAAAATTTAGCATCCTATTTTACCGACCACACTAAAGTTGGATATTCCTTTCTAATGCGTTCAGGTTTTAATACGCCCTACGGCTCATTTAGAATGTGAAATAAAACTCACTAATTAATCTAGATATAAACCTTAGAAATTATTCTCCATACACAATAAAAATATTACTGTAACTGCATGAAGTAAGACACAAATGAATTGTTACAATCTGATAACGGTGTATGAAAAATACAAGACACTTTGTAAGTAATTTATTGTACCAACTTAGTTTATGGAAAGGGGGAGGTGCTATGTTGTTTTTTTTGTCTATTTGTAATGACATTTTATCGCGGAAAAGTGATTATTACATGTTACACGAAAACGAATATCAATACATGTAGGTCACAGTATGATTTCTTATTCAGTGTGTATCGTCCTGAACATGCATGAAATATTTGCCACTGGATGTTAAGTAACCATCAATCAATCAACCTATTCAGTGTGAATCAATAATATTTTCAAAATTTTACACACGAATATGTTAAATCTGGCTTTATTTTAAAGTGTTATGAAAGTTTTACATTAAAATTCATCTCGCATATATGATAATGTCTCTGTATTGTAGCGATAAATTAACAAAACTTAACATTATTTGTTTCTAAAATTGAAATTCGAGCAATGACGATTTTTTTTACACCTATCATAGATTGAACTTTAAAAAATAAATTCCCAAATCGGCAACAGAAACTATCAGACGAATATGATTTTGAAGTAAATTATAGTTTGCATTTTTATCAATGAAAATAATGACTTCACACAGGTCATTATTTTATGCCTTGGAGCATCTTTCATTGAAACATGGTATCGTCCAGGTTGATTCTTCGAAAGAATGACCTATCGTTCTGAAAGAAAATAACTCCATATAGGTATATAACTACCCATAGACCATACATATATTCTTATATACTATGTCAATACCTTTTCATTATTGGAATGTATCGGTGTTTGTTGGGCCTCTTCTTAACTTTACTGGAGTGACTTCTAAAGATGAAGGGGAGACATTACTTTTAGTCCACTTACACAGTTCTACCTAGTTTCAATATATTACCTACCATTCAAATATTCAAAATGAATGGTATTTTAACATTTAAATAAAAAGATTTGTTAGTGACATTTAATGTTAAAACGGACATTTTTGTTTCATTCTTATTTTGTTTGATTTGAACAGGAAGCTAAAGATAAAAACTATTTGATAAGGTTGTTAAAGGAAGAGAAAGATACAGTAGAAACTCTCTACGAACAGTATGCAGCAATAAGGAATAGAGAATCTAATTGTTGATAATCAAAGCTCTCTGTTGAAGTTATGCAGCATAAATGGTACCAGCAGCATTATTTATCTGTCGACAATTCATGTTCCTTATGCAGTCTACAGAATGTACTGGTAGAAAAAAACATTGGGAATTTGACTATAACATTAATATAATATTTCACAGGTTATTAAGGATGTTGATGTACCTTTTCAAAGTGATGGGAGCATGCTATATAAGTATAAAGCTCTTACCTAGCAGAATATAATAAATTTCTTGTATATAGTTAGCAAGAATTTTATAAACTAATTATTTATCAACTAATTTGATTTAGATAACTAATATATGTTGATGTTGTTGGGGACTTAAAGTGTTTTTTTGACACTACCATATTTAAAACAATTTTGTGATACTACTGCCTTACTATATTATGGTGCTTCAGTGTTTTTTTAACAGTAGTTCCTCTTATAAGGCCACCTCAGCAGACGTAATTAGGCATTTCAAAAGAGGCTTTCTGCAACAGGTTGAAACACATAAAAAATCTAAGCCGTTTTGTATAAAAGATTTCTTTTAAATAATCGTCTGTCTTGAGAAAGGTTTTTTTATCAGGAAAAACTACAATGGAAAGAAGATCTGCTTTGTTATGTTTGTGTTTTTGGTTTTTTGTATATCTATAGTTCCTTAAAAAAATTTTTTTTTTAAATTTTTTTAAATATTTTTTGAGTTTGTGTTATCCTCCATGCATAAAACAAATTGATGTTTTCCTATATTTTCTAAGGCAGATTGGTTAACCATTAGATTTCTATTGGTTTAGAAGTGCCATAGAACTCTTATTTCCATTGTATTATTTGTAGAATAGCGATGAAAGGTTGTTAATTGTTAGTGACTCAGCAATGCTTTAAATATTGTTCAGTATTATGAAGATCTGATATAAATGTTGTTATGGTAGTATAAGTGATATTAAGATAAATGTTGTGATATTTGTATAAGTGATATTAAGATATAGTCAATTATTTATTTATATACTATACATCTTGTTGAATTGATTTTCTTATATCTGAAAATATTTTTTCATTAATTATTTACATTGCTTATATTTATTTTACAGGCTTTTTTTTGTCAAGTAAATGATTTTGTCAGTTACTCACTGAAGATGAATTGTTTATCCTTGGGGGTCCTGATAGAGCTTGTCAGGTACTTATTGAATGTGGATGGTTGACCACAGCCACTCTGGAGATATTTTTGGTTAGTTACTAAAAGTTATTGTTTTACCCTGGAAAGTCTGGTGATAGAACTTGTCAGTTACTTGGTGAAAGTTGATTTTACCCTGTTTTACCCTATGGAATAGTACAGATATATAGAAAGAAGCATTAAACTGCATAAAAAAACATTTTAAAAAATATTATAGCACAGGTAGGTTTAGCAATTGCTCTACTATGCACTTCCATCAGGTACGTCCCAAAATTGTTTTTTTTGGTAACTTTAGTTTGCCTCAACCAAATGTTATGAAACAAATACACAATGCTTATTACCACAAAACACGGATCAAATTTGAATTTGGATGGCGTCACTTTTACCATTTTTGAGTTATGCCCCTTTACAAATGGAAAAATTGCTGAATTTTTCATTTCCGATCTCTAACTTAATATAAAAATAAGGAGATGAGGTATGATTGCCAATGAGATAACTATCCACCAAAGTTCAAATAAAGTGGATGTAAGCAATTATAGTCGACTGTATGGCCTTCAACAATGAGAAAAAACCCATACCGTATAGTTGGCTCTAAAAGGCCCCGACATGAAAAATATGAAATAATTCAATTGAGAATACTAACAACCTAATTTATAACAAAACAATTTACAAAAAACAAATATGACAGACACGAACCAACGACAACCACTTAACTACAGGCTTCTGACTTGGAACAGACACATAAAGAATGTGGCAGGGTTAAACATGTTTGTGAGTGCTCAACTGTCCCCTAACCTGGGACAGTGGTGTAACAGCATAACATAAGAACAAACTATAAAAATCAGTTGAAAATGGCTTAACTCATCAGATCGATCCAAAGCAGAAAAACATCAAACATAAACACAGACTGGACGTGGCAGGGTATTTATCCATCCCTCATCCCTAACAACAAAAAGGACACTAAATACAGATCTGAGAGTACTCGCAGTTACTGACAGCTAGCTCAAAGCCAATAACAACTAAGAATTAAAAAAAATAACCATGTATCTAAGACTAAAATATCAATCAGTACACATCCACCATCCAACGGATTTAGTGTAAAGAAGTCATTAACAGTCAGAGAAGAACATGACCTTGTGCAATGCCAAAATAAAGGTATCTACAGATTATAGTATCGTTAAATGGCATATGTGTATAACAAAACTATTTAGTATGATTTTGATTTACTGATAACAAACCTCAACCAAATGTTATGAAACTTGTACACAATGCGTATTACCACAAAACTCGGATCAAATAAGTATTTGGTTGTCATCACTTTTACCCTTCTTGAATTATGTCCCTTTATAACATTATATGCCAGCAGGGGCATGTGACACATTCTCCATTTATTTTTAACTAACTATGTTACTATACACCTACTCTAGGAGTTGGGTTTATCTTACATACACCTTGTTAGTTTACTTGTACTTCAAAACAGAATGACTTTATAAGTTTAATTAACTTGTGTCTCGCCCCTTTTGCATATTTAAACAAACAACATATGTTTAAACTTTACAGAATGACTTCATATTTAGTCAGGTGCTGGGAGTGATTAATTAACACATGAATGTGTTTGGATCTGTCAAACACCTACTTTCTGTTTTCCAATACTTTGAATTTACAAGTGGAGTTTCTCGCTGCATTGAAGACCCATTGGTGGCCTTCGGCTGTTGTCTGCTCTATGGTCGGGTTGTTGTCTCTTTGACACATTCCCCATTTCCATTCTCAATTTTATTAGCTTAGTACAACAAGGTTTGCATCCTTGGTTATATTCAATATAAGCGTACAATGATGGTTATGAAGCTAAGTAAGAAGTAATAGTAGTATACTGATGTTCAAAACTTGTAAATCCATCTTTAATATGAGGCAGGCATTACCTGTGAAAGGGGACGAAGTCTATATAAATTTTTTGTTTTAATTCAAACATATTTTAAGTTCTAAATCTGTTAAAAAAGAAACGGAAATACCGTAACGTTTCCGATTTTGGTTCTGTTGTTAGGGATTTTAGTTGTGACGTTATTTTAGTTATGACGTCATATTCATTGTAAATAAAGAAATGCTATCATCAGGTAACGTTTTTTCATATCAAAGAATAATTAGAAATGAAATTGTTATTGTGTTCCTTCCTATATTTTACTGGACTGATAAATATATATTTCACTCGAAGTCTCATGACAACCGAGACCGGAAGAAGGAAGTAGATTTCTGCGCAAATGCGGGAATTAAAAAAGTTACAAAAAAAAGTTAACGATTTTGAGTTCATTAGTACAATGAAAATTTCGGGAAATTTTCCCGATTTTTTTTTTTTTTTTTTTTTATTGATTTTTCTACTGTAATAGGGGACTTTGTCCCCTTAATATACTAATCAGGATAAATTACAGAACTCCAAATGGAGTGAGACTGGGTGTCTTAAAAGGGTACCATCTGCTATGTATGCATCAAAAGAAATATTATGATATTTTAGACATTTTTATCAGCATTGAAATTGACTGCATTTAGTTTTAGATCTGAAAATATATGGCACAAAAGGATACTAGTATTAGCGTATCTGTGCTAAAAAGTAAAAATAAAAAAATACCCAAACTCCAAGGAAAATTCAAAACGGAAAGTCCTTTATCAAATGGCAAAATCAAAAGCTCAAACACATCAAACGAATGGAAAACAAATGTCATATTCCTGACTTGGTACAGGCATTTCCTTATGTAGAAAATGGTTGATTAATTCTGGTTTTATAGCTAGCTAAACCTCTCACTTGTATGACAGTTGCATAGAATTCCATTACATTGACAACAATGTGTGAGCAAAACAAACAGACATAATAGGTAAAAATGTCAAAAATTGGGGTAATGCAGTCAACATTGTGTTACAATCTTAATCACTATAAAAACAAATTACATAAGCAAAAAAAGAAAAGATCATTTTGTTATGTATATGTAACATCAAAATCAAAGTGAAAAACCTGATTTTAATTGAAATTTCAAATTGATAGAAAAAAAACCTTTACAAGAATTATACCATATATTTCTTTGTTTTATCATGTCCAGAGACACGAGCAGTCTTTTAAACAATGTTTGAGAATAGTGTCTTAGACAATCCTCTTAATACTCTTTTTTTTCTGAAACATAAAAAATAGAGGAGTGAATAAAATGCAGATCAGAGCTCTAAACCATAGCATAAACAAATTTGGCAAGAAAGTCCTTAGTTCTTATTCCTCATAGCAATATGAATTTAATTGTATATACCCTTTCTGGAGAGTATTACCAACTCTTCAAGTCAATAATCCCAAATTTTAGGATAAACTATTTAGACCCACCCCAACCTGTGTATATTTTTATTTTTCATGACATGATGGATTGTAAACATTATGTAAAGAATATACATACTTTGGGGGTTATCCCTATCCCTTTTATTTTCTCTTTTTATAGTGCAATCCAAATAGTGGCATTTCAAAATGTGTATTATATCTTGTTATTACTATAAATGTTCCTTCCAAATACATTGTAATGGCATTGAGAAACTGCTTAATACTTTTAATGTACTTTATCAATATATTCCTTAAAGAACTTTTCAGCTTATGAAACATATAGAAAAACATGTTTATGAAAGGCTCCTAAATGGTTTGAGTTATAGAATTATGTCAGATTTTACTTGCGTTTTCAATGACATGTAATGATGTACATAAAGTCCTCACAAACATACTTAATTTGTTTTACAAAGATTTGCAATTTTAAGATGCATAACATTCATAATGATATTTGCTTTTTTCTGAAAATGTTATCACTTTTTATGGTGTATTACAGATAATATTCTCTCTTTTTATAGCGCATTCCAAATAGTGGCAACCCAAAGTATTTAATATTCCTTTCAATTACATGTTATAATACATTCCAAATAGTGGCATTTCCTGGGAGTTCAGTATTTTTGTGATTTTACTTTTTATTCTAAAGTTTTTAATATTCCTTTCAATTACATGTTATAATACATTCCAAATAGTGGCATTCTAAATGATCTAATTTTCCTTTCTATTGCTCATTCAAATACATTCCAAATAGTGGCATTTTAAAGTGTCTAATATTCCTTTATATTACTTGTTAAGATACATTCCAAATAGTGGCATCCTAAAAAGTATCTAGTATTCATTTTTATTACTCTTAAGATACTTTCTAAATAGTGGAATTTTAAAGTATCTAATATTTCTTTCTATTACTTGTCAAGATATCTTTCCAAATAGTGTCATTGTAAAGTAACCAATATTCCTTTCTATTACTTGTTAAGAAACATTCCAAATAGTGACATTAAAAAGAAAGCCAGAGTTCTGGGAGGGAACCACCAACCTAGGCAAGAAAACTGACAATCTAGTAGATTAAGATCGGAGTTGAACGCAACTACCATGAGCTGGGTTTGAACTCACAACCTCAGGCTAAGGATCTTGTAGATGGACTAATAAGACCATTGAAAAACGCTTGATTTTTTAAAATGCATTTATGAATACTTTATTTAAAAAAAATAAAATAGAAACATTGCATTATTGAAATATTTAAACATATATATAGTATACACCGCTGGTTTGTTGCTTTGTTGTGATAGTGCAATTTTGATATTCGACTCACTAAAATGTTTGCTTGCACAAGAATGTTAGATTCCTTTATGTGTACACATCATGTCCTGTTTAATCTATTTTAAACTGAGTTTTAGAAGACAAAATATTGTTTGTGTTTAAATTATCTGAAAATATAAACTATGGAACATTTTGAGTTTAATACATATTTTTACATAGACGAATTACCTGCATCTGATCAAAACATTACTCAAAGAAAAAAAGGTGTTAAAAGAAGTTAGTTTTGGTCTTCCCTGTTTTCCCATTTGTTTATTTAATTGATTTTTGTGTTTAATCTGCGGTTTCATCAGATGATAGGACAAGAATCTACAACATAATGTGCATGTACTGGTATGCTGTGATCATTTTCTATTTAATCTCACACACACACATATAAACATACACATATATTATATTGATAGTAAAAGACGAAAGAAAAAATAGTATAAAATCCAAAACATTCTGGATTGTCACAACTGCAATGTACCTCTTGGCTTGGGTATCATTTTTACAGAAAGTTTACTTGACCTGGAACATGAAGTCTGAGAACTTATTTTCAAGTGAAATTTACCATAGATGGGTTTACCTATTCTTTTTAGGTCCCTTTTTTTGTATTTTCACATACCTGGCTTTCAAATGTTTGGTTTCAGCTTCCCTGATGTAGGTTAATCCATAAAAGCACCTTGGACACATCAAATTCTTAAAAGGGTAATTTTTAATTTCAATGCAGGCTTTGTTGCAAGGGTTCAAAAATGAAAATTCAATCTGGTCAAAATGGTAACACTTGCACATTTTGGTGAGAAGAGTACAGTAATGGATATCACGGTTGAAATTTCCTGATTTAAGTTGATGGTAATGAGAAGTCATGTAATTTATCCTAACGGCTTCACAAAATCAATCTTCTATAATTCTTACATGTACTCTTGTATCACATTTGAAAGTGTCAATTGTAATTTTAGCTATTTAACATCATTTTGAAATGTATCTTTTTTCTGTTCTTTATGATATTATACCCTGAAATGGTTATTACTTCCTGGAGGAAAAAGTCTTTAACAGACTGTTGTTGATTTGAATAATTTTACATATGTTATATACATCATTTTGCTTTTATGTGTTTATATGTTTTAAGTGTTCATTTTTAATATTTTACCAATCTTTTATAAAAAAAAACTTATTTATGTATATTGCTGAAACCAGTACAAGTAATATTTATATGTTTTGATATAATAAATAATACTAATTATGTTTGTATATATGTTGTCATGCAGATAAATGTTCACTGTAATTGATTATCTTTTCTAATTTCAAACACTTTTCCCCACCTCCATGAAAAGATGGATGTATTGGCACACTTTTTTTTTTGGTTATCAATTCTCTCAAACTTTGTTTTTGTTTTGGCTCTCCAACTGTTTAAATTCAAATGACACTGTCGAGTCTTATGTAGACAAAACATGCTTCTGGTGTATACAAGATTAGTATCTTTGATGAAATTTTACAACCTCTGTGTGGGTGCCATTGCTGGTGGACGTTTCATTCCCGATGATATTACCATCTCAGTAGTCAGCCTTCCTATTCTGAATTAAAATATCACCAATAGCCAGTTTCTTTACATTTACTGTTTCTTAAAAGTTGAACTATTTGAAACATTCAGGTTTTACTACCCCATACCGAAATGTTCTATTCAAGATTTTGGCACAACTGTTTTGTACTTTATGGTTTTGAATGCTCTTTAACTCGGATTTTATTTTCCTACCAACTGTTTTGGTGAATCTTATGTAGATGAAATGCGCATGATCTGGCGTAGACTGGTATCTTTGATTAGTTTTATGAACGATTCATCATATATATCGAGTAAAGAGTGATGATTTGGGAGTCGGAGAAATGTGCCATTATAGCTATATCTGGATTAAAAAAAATGAAATTGGGTTTTTTTTTCTGGTCATCTTTATCTTGGGTTTACGCAAAATGGGTTAAATAAATATAGTGTTGTTTTTGTGGTCCAGAAGAGAAAATCATAGTGTTTAACCATCAATTAAAATTTTTTAGTAGAACAAATTTACACACACTGCATTGATTACAGTGCCTTTAAAGCCTTTTAATGTACAGCAATATCAAAGTATGATGTCAGTCAGTTTACAAAATTTGGTCTTTGCTCAAAACAGCAGAATTCCACTGAACTAGATATTTTAAAACTCTTAGGTTTGAAGTAGCAACTACTGCTTGACTATATTATATTCATTGATTTACTAGTTGCTCGAATCTGGAACAGAGTCTGCAGTTTTTTTTATTATAAGCAATATTTTAATCGTTTGCTTGAAAATTGTTTAGATCCCTACTATAATCAATTTATCTACCACTCCTTCTGAAACACTTTCAGTTTAATTATTATAATTTTTGTGATTGCTCATCACCACGAGGAGGTTAGTCATGCGTAAGGTTTAACTGCACTACTAGTTGCACCTGCCATGTTGTTCATAGTAAGTACAAATTCGGTGATAAGTCTCGTTCGGCGATGTAACAATCCAGGAAAACAGGACGGGATTGTGGTACCGACTGGTGGAACCTGTCAGTGGTCATCTGTAAATATTCTTAAACGGTCAACCAACTCGTAATGGTTTTTGTAAACTTTTCCATGGGATTACTGCAACTTTACCGCTAGGAATCCTTGGTTCAATGGCTTCTTTGGAAGCGCAAGCTCTGAAATATCGTATCATTTGGGAGATATATACTCCAAAAGCAGGCGCTGCTGGATTGATGCTTTATATAAATGGAAAGTTCACAATTGGGAAGCTGAAACACCCCTTTTGTAGTAAAGTTTGGTTCACAACCGACATTCATTGTCGATATCTAGATTTAAGTCTAGTTATGAGTTAGTCTTATCTGTATCTATGGTATATTTTATTTCAAGTTCGATGGAATACAACAAGAGTTAGTTATGTGCATTCTTGCTATGATATAAGATTGACAGCAGTTTTCAACACTGTTATAAAACATTTAAAGCTAGGCATATATTGCTTGATTCTTTATCGCGGTTCTGTATACACATAGATGCTGATTGGTCTAAACAGCTAGGTGATATCATCACTTTTCACTATAGTGTTGACTGATGCATAGTTCAGTTTATAC